TACATGTAGGCTACAATTCAAACGAATCGCGAATTATCGGGTGATCGCGAAGTGCTGTATCACCATGATCACTTCAAATCCGATCCCGTAGCCCATGCGCCCACGCGTCAAATCACATTCATGACATTGTCATTGTGACATTACTTTGTTTAGAATACAATGTATGTCCTCTACTCAGCGTCTAGATGCTTTGCTGACTAGCCCACACTACTTTATGAGGTATCTATTTGTGCCTGTCATTGCGATTCACCCGCACGTTACAACATAAGACTGGTTCTACCACTGTTCTTTTGTTCTTACATAGATAAGTTACTGAAACACGTCAATGTACCAGATTATAGGATAAACTATAGTGGCTTTGAAAGAGTATCACATAAACGATCGAAACTCACAAAAATGTTTTAATAAAATTATTGCTTTCGAATATAACCTGTACAAAAACACCAAGAGATTCATTAAAAATACCACAATAATGAAGGTTATATTGGAAGAAGAAAAGGGGTAAAAAGACATGCCACTGAAAAACTGAACTACTGAACAACTCGTAATGGGCCTTCGTTATGAAAGATATAAATGCAAGTGTACTTTTGCAACTCTATGCTAAAACCACCATAAGACTTTGCAGGGTGTCATCGATCGGGGACGGAGGGAGGCGCCGCGTGATGGCGTGCATTTCTGGCGCACAACAGAATGTTAAAGGGACTGGTGAAGTTTAGTCACTGGAAGTGTTGGCAACCCGTAAACAATCCATCATGGCTGCGCCCGCAGATGAGAAAGAGAGTGCAGGTAGGGTTGATTTATTTGGAAAAATGCTGAATTTCTCCAAATTTCTTCTTCAAATTAGAAGCTGAAACTTTTGGCTTTGGACTTATTTGCCCATAAACATAATCCGAAGGTTCTTTGGCATTTAGCTAAAGGTTATTGTGCCGTTCAAATAATGTGCCAAAATATATTTATGCCTATACTAGGCTATACTAGGCCTATGCATTAACCATGTTCATTCATTTAATCAACTCAGGAGGGAAAACAATAAATTTGCCCAAGCCTCAAGATCATGAAGATTGCGCTTAAAAACATGCTAAATATGACAAATAAAAATCAAAGTGGACTTTCTTCTTTTCCCAGAGTCACTCCTGGCTGAGACACAGAAGAAGATAGCTGATGCATTTGATATTTTTGACCATGAATCCAACAAAACTGTGGATGTCAGGTAGGCCTGTCATGGCTTGTAGTGCTATTAGAGTATACAAATGTATCATTAAACAGTTTTATTAAAAAAAGTCCCTAAAATGTGAGTAAAGAAAGTAGCTGGAATTTTTAGACATCCCTGTACATGTTGTAAGTTGTAAGTTTGTGTTTAGTGAGCTGATGCCACAGACACAAAATCACTGGAAAGAAACAGCCATGGCTTCTAGTTTTAGAATTACCAGTAGCTACATTNTAGGCTACAATTCAAACGAATCGCGAATTATCGGGTGATCGCGAAGTGCTGTATCACCATGATCACTTCAAATCCGATCCCGTAGCCCATGCACCCACGCGTCAAATCACATTCATGACATTGTCATTGTGACATTACTTTGTTTAGAATACAATGTATGTCCTCTACTCAGCCTCTAGATGCTTTGCTGACTAGCCTTCACTACTTTATGAGGTATCTATTTGTGCCTGTCATTGCGATTCACCCACACGTTACAACATAAGACTGGTTCTACCACTGTTCTTTTGTTCACGCATGGATAAGTTACTAAAGCACGTCAATGTACCAGATTACAGAATAAACTATAGTGGCTTTGAAAGAGTATCATAAACGATCGAAACTCACAAAAATGTTTTGATAAAATTATTGCTTTCGAATATAACCTGTACAAAAAAACACAAACGGATTCATTAAAAATACCACATATTTTGGTAATGATTAATGTAGGTTATATTGGAAGAAGAAAAGGGGTAAAAAGACATACCACTGAAAAACTGAACTACTGAACAAATCGCCTTTCATGGGCCTCCGTTATGACAGATATAAATGCGGGTGTACTTTTGCAACTCTAAAACCGCCATAAGATTTTGCAGGGTGTCATTGATCGGGGACGGAGGGAGGCGCCGCGTGACGGCGTGCATTTCTGGCGCACAACAGAATGCTAAAGGGACTGGTGAAGTTTAGTCACTGGAAGTGTTGGCAACCCGTAAACAATCCATCATGGCTGCGCCCGCAGATGAGAAAGAGAGTGCAGGTAGGGTTGATTTATTTGGAAAAATGCCAAATTTCTCCAAGAATTTCTTCTTCAGATTAGAAGCAGAAACTTTTGGCTTTGGACTTATTTGCCCATAAGCATGATCCGAAGGTTCTTTGGCGTTTAGCTAAAGGTTATTGTGCCGTTCAAATAATGTGCCAAAATATTTATGCCTAGACCTATGCATTAACCATGTTAATATTCATTTAATCAACTCAGGAGGGAGAACAATAAATTTGCGTAAGGTTCAAGATCATGAAGATTACGCTTAAAAACATGCTAAATGTGACGAATAAAAATCAAAGTGGACTTTCTTCTTTTCCCAGAGTCACTCCTGGCTGAGACACAGAAGAAGATAGCTGATGCATTTGATATTTTTGACCACGAATCCAACAAAACTGTGGATGTCAGGTAAGCCTGTCATGGCTTGTATTTCTAAGAGTATACATATGTATCAATAAACATTTTTATAAAAAATAATCAGTTCACTAAACACAAACTTACAACTTTAATGTACAAGGATGTCTCAAAATTTCAGTCCCTAAAATGTGAGTAAAGAAAGTAACTGAAATTTTGAGACATCCTTGTGCATTAAAGTTGTAAGTTTGTGTTTAGTGAGCTGATGCCACAGAAACAAAATCACCTGAAAGAAACAGACGAGGCTTCTAGTGATAGAATTACCGGTAGCTACATTAAGTTTAGTTGGGGCATTTCTGTTGCCGTTGCATTTTTGCTCTCTTGCCTTCAAAATTAGGCGGCTACATGTACAAAACACTGCTTTACTTTTTTTTCCTGAGACAAAAGTATGATCGCTTTACTTTCTTTAATAAACCATCGTCCCTGATTGTGTCTTCCACTTCCATAAAAGGGCTTTCCTCCATTCATAGAAACATTTTAGGACCTGGAGAAAATTAGCCTACTGAAGTCAACCATCAGGCTGCCAAAATGTGCACTTATGTCATTACTTGATCTTAAGTTGAAGCCCGGAGGTGTTTCATATGACAATAAATTAGAGACCATTGCCTAAAGCTGCAAAGTTTCTGCTATTCATCGCAAACATCCTATTTTTGCAGACTCATTTCCTGAGGTAAAATATTGCCTAAAGCTGCAAAGTTTCTGCTATTCATCGCAAACATCCTATTTTTGCAGACTCATTTCCTGAGGTAAAATATTGCCAAATGAAAAATTTGGTTTATTTGACAGACAAACTCTGCAGTACTAAACGGCAAAATTGCTCAGGATTTTAAAACGTATGAAAACAATAAAATCAGATAAGGCTTTGTTGATCATGATTATGTCTTCATCTTTAGAGAGGTAGGCACAATCATCAGATCGCTCAATTGTTGCCCAAGTGAGGGCGAGCTCCATGACTTGCTGGCCGAGATGGAAGAGGAGGAACCTACCGGTTACATTCGCTTTGATCGGTTTCTGCAGACAATGACCGAAGTGTTGATGGCAAGAAAGTGAGTCCTTCTCCAGACTAAGACCCCGGGTGCAGAAAAATCATGCCAAATAAAATTATGCCAACTTGACTTGCTCTGCGGCTGACAGAATTGTCCAAATTTGTCACTAGACAAAGACAAGTTTAAGGTCTCAATTCAGTTTTTTTAAGGGTGACTTATTCAGTGTGAGAGTGAAGCCAAGTGATCTCAATTTGAAGCCTCAGAGCAGACTAATTCTTCGGTAACTTTGAAACAGTGGGACCATTCAGTAGCCCGGTGCAGTGAATCCGGACTTGAGTCAAAGACTCGGACTTGGACTCCGATGGCAAGAACTCAACTAGAGCACTTGTCCAGGGGCACAATTATGGCCAAAAATGTGTAGAAATGGAATCGACACATCTGATATTCATTTTGACAGTTACTTAAGGCAGTAGTGAAGGTTGATACTAGTGTCAATCTATGTTTTTCTTTGTAATGCACGTTCTCTGTGAGTACCAAGGGTTTTGGGACTCTCATCAACGGTATTGAGAGTCCCATATTTTTGGATAAGTCCTTGCCTGATTCACCGTGTTCATTTCAAGTGATGGTCCCAGTAAAATCATGTGGCCTCCTTGCTTTCCTCATCCAGTCACATTTAAATTGCTAATAAAAAAAGNCTCTTGTCAAATTTCAACAACATACAAAAAGCTTTAAGTGGCAATTAAACCTTCCGGAAGGGTAGATTCTCTTGAAAATTATATTGGTATCATTGATTTGTATTCATTTTTTTTCCTCAAACAAGAAGTGGACCAGTTTGAACAAACCGTCATCAGAATTCTTTCTTGGTTTGAATGTATTGACCATAATGGACTAAAATAACTGAAACCAGCAATAACTTTGAAACTAGATTGGAAAATGTTTCCATTTTTCAGAATGTTTCCAGAGTTTTTGATTTATTTCATGTCTTTGTACCAAAAACTTAATATAATGTTTACATTAATCATGTTTGCACAGGTTTAAACCATCACCCGAAGATCAGCTCCAAAAGGCATTTGAGGTTCTTGATACAGACAAGAAGGGATATTTAACAGTTGAAGAACTTACAAAGTACATGACAGAGGAAGGTGAGTGTAGCAGATAGGAGTTTCACGTGAACTGCTGAGGGCGCTCTGCTTGCAAACACCCTTGCTGAGCGGTAATATTTTCTTAACACAACAGTCTGGGAATAGACCTTGTACTTTGCTACATGAAAATAATTTCATTGCTGGTTTCATCTTTCATATGTGAGCTTCACCCTTTTCCACTAGGCTACCAGTTTGGTCATTTAGAAGGGGAAATAAAGTGCAAGGCACTCTGTGATCCTTTTGTCTTTCTTCAAACCTGGTTTACCTTGAGTATTGTAGGAAAAAAAAAATTGCTTCCCAGCAGTAGTTTGCAAATTTCCACTGATGCGAGGTATGTTTGTACTCAGAACCTATAGCCATTGAATCCCAGTCAAAGTTATTGAAGCAGTATAGTATTGCTGGGAGGGGGAAGGGTCCCAGTGGGCACCCCTCAGGTATCCTCTGGGGCCTGTTTTTATTTCTGTTGGGGAAATTATTATTAAAATGTTGGAAAAGGGCAAGGAAGTACAAAGTGGGAAATGTGGGGAGGACAGAGCCCCCGTTACAAAAAGGAAACCCCCTTCTGTTTGTAATGAGAGAACAAATTTGGGAGACTTTTTTCTTTCCTTTTCCCGCCTGAAGCATTTAAAAAGATCCAAACTTCACCTCAAATCCCAGCAAGGCCATGAAGATTACACAAAAAATCCATAAATTGTTGGCCCCCCCCCAAAAAAACAGCAAAAAAGAAACAAATTTGTCCCTGAAAAACACGGTTCTGGATCTGCCATTGATTTGATGTGTGCTGTCTTTCAATCTTGTGTGTATAGATGGTAAGTAAATCTTTTTTGTGGTTTGTATTTTTCAGCGGAGCCGTTCACCCAGGAGGAACTTGAAGAAATGTTATCAGCAGCAGTAGACCCAGATAAAGGTGTCATTCTGTACAAGGATTACGCCTCACTCATGGCTGTGGATGAGACTGCGTGATACATGGCAGTAATAGGTTCAATTGTAAATACCTTGTAATTAGACTGGAATCAGAATGTTATGGCCGCTGTTGGAGTAGAGGGTTTGCATGGCTGCCATCTTACTGGCCAATGTTTTGTTCCACAGGGCATGCACAAAGGAAGTTCCCAGTGGAACACAAGAACTGCCCTGCAAGATGGCTACCATGCAAAGCCTCTATTGACAGGTGTGCCTGTGGGAGCCAGTGGCTTTGAGGCCAGAGCCATTTCCCCATAGTATGTATGTGACAAGCAGTCACTGACTAATGGCTGCGCCATTTGTCATAGGTATATGTGTGACTCCACCACAGCCAGTCGAGCTGGACGTGACCTTATACATGTATACATACATGTATATTAATCTGACTCCACCAATTTTCCTGCTTGATTCAGTTCAACCTCGTTAATAAGAGCACTGTTCATACAACATTCTGCTTATTTATAACAAGGAAAATTTTAGGTCCCAATCCTTTGTTCTTCATTGTTTTCATTCCTGTTACAAGGTTCCTGTTGCAACAAAGTAATCTGCAAAGTCCCTGGGACCTCTTACTAACGAGGCTCCATTGCATCTATATGACCTTGCCCACACCTAGCCCAATGGAACACTCCTTGAACAAAATTGGCATGTCCAAGTCCAATTGGCATGGCTCAAGGCTACAAATGGAAACATAACAGGCTCCATGGCTAGTATCTGCAGTCACTTCTCACAGATGCCTGTATATGTACAAATAGGTCACTTGGGAGACATTTTGTGGTAAA